TAGCGCGCCCTCGTCAGAGGGCAAACCATCAAGGATAATTCCTTGACACCAGTGAACGACTCGACACGTAACCAAAACAATCACCAAACCTAATAAATACACCTAAATCTAACTGCTTTTTTCCTGTTTCACCCGCTTTTTTGACCGACTGACACTTTCCCGTTATCTCGATGTCAGTAGGATCGTTTGTAAATGAGCACAGTTACGAGCATGAATACAACGACGACCTGAGCAAAAACCAGGACTAACATTTTCAAATTTTTCAGTATTTACAATTTTCACTCATTTAATTACTTCAGAATACTTGTAGCAATGTTCAGCAAAATAAAACAAAATTTTTTTACGGTAAAGTCTGCATCAAATGACACAGTAGTAAAAATGAAAAAAAATTTAAAAGTAACGCTCAATTAAAAGAATTTTTCAAATTGCAAAACTTGTACCTTTTAGTGATTTTTTCAACTTTCTAATGGTTGTTTGGTGAAATCAATTATTTTATAACTATTTCCACTATATTTACAGCCGATCTTTTTGAACCATTTTTGCAACGTACAGCACAAAACCACTGTAGAGGAGGGCAAACTCAAAGACGTTCTTCTTGCTGATCTTTCCTAGATTGCCCATGTGAAAGCGAAACTCATCAGTACTGCAAACGGTTTCATAGAACGAGGACAGTCTTAGCTTGGCAGTGGTCATTGCTCTTGTGTGAAAACACTCCTTTTCCGGCTTGCTCACCAGCACCTTCAGCTGTACAGTGTACAGCAAGCGGTCAGACTTGAGAAAGGCCTCGGACCAGGTGATCATGCCCAGACAGGCGACCACTGTGCAGCTCACCTGCATGGGCACCATCACCGCCAGAACCAGCTTCTCTCCGGTGCTCAGTGGTCTAAAGAGGGCCTTGCCGATCATCACCAGGTTGATGGAGGTGTTGGTGAAGAGGTCGGCAAACATCAGCCCCGAGCCGACGTGGTGGTCGGTGTGCCGGGCAAAGTCCAGCTGAGCCCGGTATTCTCGGTAGTAGAATGCTAGAAAGCGGTACGTAAACGATGGCCCCTGCATGCGAAACTTTCCTTTAAAAGCCAATGTTTTCAGTTGTCTTCCAAGTTCGGCCAAGTGCCGGCGGACGGTGAAACTAGCTAGGAGGAGAAAATTAAGAAGAAAAACCGCCTGCCGAAAAGCGTTGTGAACGATCCAGAGGAAAATGCCCATTTCAGCAGAGGCAAACAAAAAGAGGAAAATACTAGTTTCAGAAAGATCTGGCCAAAAAAAGAACGCTACAGCGCCCGCAAAGATGACAGAGAAGACAATGTCTTTAAAAATGTATAAAAAAATTAAACTTTTTTAAACTGTTTGTTTTAACTTACAAAATACAAAAACAAGAATAAAAACCACCATTTCTGAAAACACTGAGTAAATTACCGACTGGACGCGAACTTTGATCGACATTGCGGGAAAACTTTTCATCGGAAACATAACTGGCAGTTGTACTCTGCGGCAAAACCATATTTTTTGTACCAGCGCTTGGTACCACCAAAACCACCAGCCACTTTTGTTTATTAGCTTTTCATTAATTTGCTTAAACTTTTGCTTACTATTAAAAAGCATCAGTTCAGCAGTGGCCCAAAGAACGCGGGCATCAAAATAAAAGTATGTCGTCAAGTCAAGGTAGATGGAGAAGAGCGCCAGAAAACAGGTGCATCCGAGGACGGTGGCGTCCAGGAAGCAAAAGTTGAACATTAGTGTCAGTACAAAAGGGTAGTAAGGAAGGTAGGAGTTAGAGTCTGCACTGGTTTGATACTCGTAGTCCAGCAAACAGACACGAATGCCTCGCAGAGTGAGCACTGTCCAGAGAAAGTAGTGTAAAAATTTTTCAAACCAAAAACGTCTCGACCAAGTTTGAGGAGGAGCAAAAGAGGGAATAGAGGTAAAAGAAGAGGTTGATGATTCTACTGTTTCAAATTTAGATTTAAATTTAAGTTCACACATATAAGTCATTAGTGTGGAAGTCCGAAAACAAAAGTAGTGGTGATTGAAAAATGAACCAAAATGGTTTAATTGTAATTTTTTTATAAATTCCATAGTTGAATAACAATGATTATGATAGTTATAAAATTATATTTTTAAATTAAACTTTTGCAAATTTAACAAAATAACAAATTTAAATAATGTGTTTTTGTTTACAAACTACACTGCTGTCAAATGAATTTAATAAAAATATGCAAACTTTGTTTTGTAGTGATAAATGGTTTAAGTTAAAAAGTGAAAAATAAAACTTGACTTTACTGGCAAAAACAAATTACTTGGTATAAATTTTTAATTTGTATTTGTTCGTTAATAATGTGCCAATTTTTTTTACAAATTTTGCACCACTACTTTTTACAACTGCTACAAACGATTTTTGCGCACCATCTTTGCAACGTACATAACAAAGCCAGAATAAATTAGAGCAAACTCGTACAAACTTTTTTGACTGATTTTGCCAAGACTGCCCATGCAAAAGCGGAACTCATCACTGCTGCAAACCTGCTTATAAAAAGATGACAATCTCAGTTTAGCAGTAGTCATTAGCGTTTGTTTGTACAACAGTTCGCCGATGTTGTTTATTAACACCAGCTGTACAGCGTACAGCAAACGATCAGACCGGCGGAAAGCATTTGACCAGGAAATCAATCCAAAGCAGCCTATTAAGGTGAAACCAATGTAGTGGGCAAACCAGTTGTTCTACTGATTTCTAGGCATTCATGGCGATTTTCTTTGTTTCTCTTTCACTATTTCTTTTTGGGAGGGGGTACTTCTTTTGTCCTCCGCAGACCCCTCTTGTATGGGTTTTCAAATTTCGTTCTCTCTCTCTCTCTCTCTCTTTCTGGTCACTCGATTCCCACCTCACTGGGCGTACTTGATCAAGGTAAACACAGTTTTAAAAGAGGTATTTGATTGATAAAATAGGGTTTATTGAATGTTTAAGATAGTACAACAATTAAAAGAAATAGTTCAATAGTTAAAGGTTGATTTTCAGGTGCTGCGGTTTTACGTTTGCAGGTTAACGGAGTGCTGGTAGATTGTTCTTGTCGGGTTCTGGTTGGGCTGGTTAGGTTGTGGTTAGGTTGGTTAATTGTTTTACACTGTTTTTTCGGCTTGCTATTGGCGTCTTTTTATACTCGTCCGGCTGGGGTGTTTCGTCAGGTAAATCGCATGTTTTCAGGTAGGCATGTCGCATTCTTTCAAAGGGAAATTTGCTATTTCTCTACACCAATTTGCAAGGCAATGGTTAACACAATGACAAACTAGTCGCCAAAACTTATTGCTTGAAATAGAAGATTGCCAATCATTACCAGATTGAAAGTGATGTTGGAGACCAAGGTAAAGAACATCAACCCACTCACAACCTTTTCATTCACGTGACAAAACAAATCCAACAAATATTCATGCTAGAAAAAATCTAAATAACTGTACTTAAACGTGATCAAGTGAGATTGCTGGATTGCAATTCTAAACTGGTCATTTAACTCTTCAATGTGTTTTTGGCAATAAATCTGAATATTTGAACAAAGTGCATGCAAAAGAAACACTGGCAAATAGCGTTACCAGTGTTAAAAAGGATAGAGATTAGTTCAGCAATGGCAAAAATTTCAAAAAAGTAAATTTGCAAAAATAGTTGATTTTTATTAAAAAGTATTATTATAAAAAAGCAAAAAATTAATAAAATGGCAATGTACTAAAAAGTTGAAAATTTACAATTTATAAAGTTTAAATTTAAAAACTAAATAAAACAAGTAGTTAAAGACAATTTATTTAGCATTGAGTTTCATAATTAAATGAGTTATCGCGTTCTTTAGTTTCAAAAATAAATGAGTTTTCTTGTTTTTTAATTTCAGTTTGTTGGTTTATGTTATTTTGTTGTGAAACATTTTCAGAGTGTATCTTCTGGGTGTGTCCATCATCATCCGCTTTTTGGCAGAAGGATAGCTTGGTGTATGCTAACAACTGAGCTAGCGTACCAAAACGATGGATTAGCATGCCTGAAACATTTATATTTTATATAAAAAAATGAAAAGTTTAATGAGTAAAATCATTTACCGATTAGCTGAATGACCAAAATGGCTCCAAAAAATACCACCAGACAAAGGGTGATGGGATCCATGCGTGTTTTCAGCCACACTGTTTCTACGTGCCAAACGTTTTCCTCCTCAATGAAAGTTCGATTGTACCCGGCTATTCCAATTGGAATATCTACTCCAAAAACGTCCTTGTGCAGTTGAAGAATAAAAACAAACAGAATAAATATGGCGTTGAGAAAGGAAAAAGCAAAAACGGCTCGATTGCGCAGGTCAATTAACGCCAAAGAAATGCGTTCTTCCTCTTTGGGATTTTCGTCCATTGGGTAGAGGTACTTTGCAAGCGTACAATTCCAAAAAACTTTCTCTCGAGGATGCAATTCTTTTTCAGTGTAGCTGAACTTATTTTCACTTTTTACATCCCATTCGTAAATGATTTTTTTCTTTTTTGAACTGTTCTTTTTTTCCACTTGTTCAGTTTTCTTTTCTGTAATCTCTAAAACAACTCAAAAATTATGTTTGATTTTTGTTTAAATTTATTAACTACCTTTTGTTTTTTCTTGACTGACCACCAAACTTTGCCCTGTTGCCAGCTTTTCGACAAGATTTTTTATCTCAACAACATTTTTTGCAACCTCACTTTCCTCAACCCGGCGATTGATGTGCTGGAAGTTCTCGGCCATAAAGTCCCTTTCACCTTCTACTCTTCCAGAACAACAGCAAACGCATGTTATGAGACCACTTTTTGCTGTTTTGGCTGTGTTCGAAGCATCTAAATACTTCTGAAGTAATGATTTTTTCTCCTTTTTACCATCTGTTTCATTTTTCTTTTCTTTCGCTTTTTTTGTTTTTGACTTTTCATTTGCAGTTTTTTCAATTTTCTCGTTTGTCTCATCTTCTTCTTCTTTCTCCTCTTCCTCTTCGTCCTCTTTTTCCTCGTTCTCTCTAGTACCCCAAGCGACGATGTTCATGTTGGTGACGGAGTAAATGGTCAGCAGCATGTACATCGAAGGAATGAGCAACATGTACAGCGGAAGCGGAAGAACGCAGGCAAACTCACGCGGATGAAGGACGGCAGCGAGCAGAAAACTGCCCATCATTGCGCTGAAGAAGAGCGAATTCGGCGAGAAGATGCTGCCCTCTTTGTAGGCGTCAATGACAATGCCGGCGAGGACGGCCAGCATCAGCAGGGCGTACACTAGCGACAGCAGCATGGCCAAGTTGATCTTCAGGTCGTTGTTGGCACTCTTCAGGCAGACAGCGGTGAAGGTGACCACGGCGACGACGTTGAAAAGGAGGGAGAGGCGAGCGTCGAGGTTCAGCGCAGAGTTCATCGCACTGACGACCATGAGGAAAATGGTGCCCGGCGACAGGAGCGTGCCCACCATGAGAAAGCCCTGGTAGGCAATGTACAGCAGACTGATGTTCTCATTTCGCTCCACCGTTCGCTTGTAGTTCGACAGCAGGTCGAGAATGTTGGCCATAGTGCTGGGCGCCCAGCGGCGGCGTTGAATGAAAATTTCGGCAAAACCTTAAAAAAGGAAGACATTTTATTAGTGATTTTTGTTTGAAAAAAAGCATTTCACTTACCTTCCNGGGCGCCCAGCGGCGGCGTTGAATGAAAATTTCGGCAAAACCTTAAAAAAAGAAAACATTATATAAGTAATTTTTGTTTGAAAAAAAGCATTTCACTTACCTTCTGGAGCATGTGTGTACGAGTCAGAGGCGGCGCAGTACTCGATGCGCCAGCCACGCTGCAACATCAACGTACAAAGCCATCGGTCCTCTCCTTGGTCGTATTGAACGTAGTGAATTGCCTAAAAAAATATAGGCAAAAAATGTGATTAAAATGATAATTTTAAAAAGATGGTCAGTTTTTAAAGTTTAAAACATTAGATTTTTTGTTTTAACTGCATTTTTATTAAAATGCACACTTACCTCACTCGGTTTCGTCGTGTACTTGTGCATCACACTGTCGTCCATCAGAGCCCGAGCTCGAAACAACGAAAAACAACCTGGACTGCAGAGAACACATCCGAAGACATGTTCAGTGGCCTTCTGCAGCCAGTGGCCGATGGCGTATTCAAACTTCTGGTACCAAACTATGGGCCCACTTCCCACCGGGTGGATCCGCCCACACACCGCTCCCAGCTTTCCATTTCTTTTCATCAGATCAACGACCATGTGAACTGCTTCTGGGCGAAAGTTGATATCTCCATCGAGGGCGAGGATGAAGGTGTTATTTGAGATGGTCTTCTTTCGACTGTCAGACTTCTTCGGGTCATCATCAAGCAGATCATCCCGAGATGACAGTCGGTAGTCGAGCAGGTAGTAGAGGTACATGCACTGGCTCCACCGTTTTCGATGGCGAATTCGAGTTTTGTCCTTCAGGTGGACTACCAGGAGGCTTCCGCCGGGCAGGCGCCACACCAGACGCCCCCCGTAGGGCGTCGCCACCAGCGTGGGAGTTTTGCTGACAAGCTCTGCTTTTCCCGACTGCCAGTGGACATGACAGGCTGCCTCTGGAAGCGCCTCGATCAGCTGGTAAACGTATTTGTTCACGACGCGATTATTTTTGGATGAACCTTTTTCAAAGGCGTCATCGAAAAAAACGTTTGCTTCGAGTTGGTAGTAAGAAGAAGGCGACTTGCCTTTTGCTTTAGCCTTTTCTAGCTTCTCCTGATCTTTGTCGAGGCGGAAAATGGATTTCAAAGTTTGCAGCATCTCGCTACTGGTCTCGTGCCACATTGTGGTGCAGGCGTAAATGCGAACCGTCTCATCGGCAGATAAACTGTCAGTTTTTTTTGGATCAATGCCGCCGTTGTATTCGGGAGAAGAAGGGACCTTTTTAGTCGTTGATTTTGAAGTTAAAAGTGGTTTCGACTGCTGGGCTTTCAAAATTAGTGATGAGTTTTTTAAAGTTTTAACTTTAGTCTCTTTAGTAGTTCGCTCTCGGAGATGGTTTTCCTCTGCTGCCTTTTTGGCTATTTGAGCTTTTTCCTCTTCTAATATTCGTTTTCTTTCTCGCTCCTCCTCTAATTGAGCGTTCTTTTCTTCTCTGATCCGGGCCGCCTCTTCAGCTTTGGTTTCCTTTGTTACCTTCTCAGGGTCAAAAATGGCCACTTTAGTTGTTCGGCGGTTCATTGCCAGGGATTGATCTATAAGAAGTGCATTGTAGCCGGGGTTAAGAAAAATGTGTTCAGTCGGCGCAAGTCGCTCGTTAGTTTCCGTCCAAATGTGCAGCGTTGCGGCTGCCTGGCTGGCTAGGCCTAGGCAAAGCCAAAGACCGAAAACAAGAAAAATGTTCAGCAGACCATAACCGCCTTCTGCTTCACTGGTGTACTGAAAGCTGGCCCCTAGTGTGCCCATGTCGCCCATTCGCCAGAAAATGTACTGAAAGGGCTCAAAAAAAGCCGTCAACTGGCATTTGTCTTCAATTGCGAGACTTTTCAGTGCCCACAGAAGGCTGACGGTGACCGGGACAGTGATGGTGATTGGAATGGCAAAACTGATTTCTAAAAACAAAATTTTAAAAAACTGCAAAAACCACTAGAACCAAAATTTTCTTACCATGAATGCCTACTTTGCAGGTAAACTTGGCGAAAGCGTAGCAGAGGTAGGTAAAAGTGATGTGGCCTAGCAGAATGACCACCGGCCAAAGGGCAAAGTTGACGTAGAGAAGGTGGTGCTCAGTGTCGAGAAGGACACCGCCGTCGCCCTTGATTCGGCTCACTGGAACCGTCGGTGAGTTTTGAATGGAGGAGGTGAAGTTGCTGAAAAGGCTGCTCACTTCGAAGCTGTTTTCAGTGCCTGGGACAACAGCCTGACTGAGCACCATCATCGCAACGGTGATCAGCGCCTTCCAGGGCATGGTGATAAGAGCGACGAAGTAGCGTGAGCGGTTTTTATCTTCAAGGTTACTCTGGGCGTTCTCTAAAACGGACAAAAAAATGTGTTTTCGCTTTGGCACAAGGTAGTTTTGCCACCATTCAAAAGATGCTGAAAAAGGGGACATTATTGAAACTGTTTTTTGAACGAACAAACTTGTTAAATATTACATAGTATCAGTGCAACTGGAAGCAGGTACCAGTGGGTAGTAGTTTGTCGTTCAGTGTAACCAACCGTTGTCCAGGCGACAATTGAAAGCATCTGAGCAAGAAAAGCACTTGCAGAAACAATTTTGTTGGTGGTCAATTTCCAAAACAGTTTCCGCGAAGCTGACTCCGGTTTAGCAAGGTTCTCTTTTACTACCAACGATTCGCCGGCTACCACAAAAAGTCGAAGAAAAACCGGAAAGGCAGCCACACTGTTCATCATCATTGCCCCTTTAATGACGTCCATTTGAGGTAAAAGGAAAAAGGCAAACAGAGAAAGTCCAATAGAATGCAGGGTTTCAAAGGTGAAAACCTAAATGAATAAAGAGTGATAAACTAAAAATACTGGGAAACTTAAACCTTACAATTACAAAAGTTGCAAAACTACATTTTTCTGCCGATTTAAAGTAGACAAATCTTAATGCTCGAACAAAAGAAAAAACGTACGGGGAAATTAAAGCAAAAGTCAGGCACCAGAGCCAGGCGATTCTAGAACCAAAACCTCCACTATCGGAATACTGAACTTTGTACAGCTTGTCATGCTCCAAAGGTTCAGTCACAAGAAAGCTAGTTTCAGTGTTGCAAACGGTTACACTGTGGTTTGAGGCTACCATTGAGGTCATCAGAAGAATAGTCGATTTACTTATTACAGCAAAGATGAGGTTGGCTAAAAAGATCCCTATGATGATTGCGACCTTCAGCCACTGAATGCTAAGTGAAACCCATTTACTTTCGGCAGTTTCGTCGTCGTCAGGCTCTGGAGCTGTTTTTTCTCTGTGAAAGGATTCAGTTGAGTAAGTAGTGTTTGTGGTCGTTTCTAAAGGGTTTTCTTCGTTTGTTGTTTGTTGGTCAGTTTCTGGTTTGTGATTTGAAACATTCATGTTTGTGTTGCAGTGGCTTGCAGATGGTTTGTGCAGGGCATCAATGTCATCAATGGAACTGATTGTATTGTTGTAACCTGAGTTTTCAATCATTTCTGTTTGATCACTGAAATCATCATTTTCATCATTGTAAGCGGAGTTCACATAATCATTAGGAGTTATTGGAACAGAAATTTTGTGATTAACCAAACTCGTAATTGATTTTCTTTTTTTAAAAAAATGTTTTTGTGGAGAATGAACCAATTGGTTTGAAAAGCTACTTTGGTTATTAAGCAAATCATACTGTTGAATGTGTGATAATGAAGATTGTTTATTTCTTTTAGATGAATCAGAAAGATGTTTTAACTCCATTTTAAATTTTTGTTAAACTAAAAAACTTAAAATTGTTTAATATGATTTTAAAAACATTTTGCAAAAAAATCCTACCAGCATTACACAAATTAAAAAATAATTTTTAGTTTAAGATAATTTACATGTTTTTAAGAGTTTTACTGATTTCAAAGTTAATATGGTTTTTACTTATATTAAAAAGTCAAAGTTATTAAATTTTTTTAACCATTGTTAGAGATGACAATGATGATGATTAACAGTTTATCTTCTCTGACTAATTCCTCAATTCCATTGTTGCTGACTAGCAATTTTGTCATTCTTGCCTTTTTTGTTTCCATTGAAAATAAGCTTAATTTACATTTAGACATTGCATA